TTTTTTTCTTGTTCGCTAGTAAGTTTTCTAGTATTATTACTTCGAAATTTAATATAATTTAATGTCTGAATACTGTTTAAAGTCTCCATAAAATAAAATATATTAGGATGGGCAGATGTAAATTCTTTATTCAGCTTTGAAAGGAACGATTCGCAACAATTTGTAGTCCTATCAATATTTTTGTCAAATCTAGCCCAAATTTTCGGTGGAAAGATACTGTCTGTATGATCAAGAACGTAGTCGAAGAACTGATCTAGTTTTGAGCAGCAAGGTTTTATGGCCATCAAATCATTATAAAAACAGTCTTCGACGTCTTCGGGTGATAATAAGGACAGTCCAAAAAGTAGTTTCAGAAGTTGTCCGATTTCTGAAGCATTATCTTTAAATTCATTGGAGAGACCAAACTATTGAATTTTTCTCCACCATGACTGACATAAATGGAATCTGCAACCTTTAACTGTAACTTGCTGTAGCTGTGAAGTTATGGCACTATGGATAGCTGTTTCAAAATCTACGAAAACCGTGCCAACTGTTAGATATTTTGCGACCTTATTTAATGCAAGTATGTAAGTGTCTGCAGTCTTGTTTGGGAGTAGGCTGAATACGACAGAAACGTAGCTGTTTTGTACCTTGATAAAAATAGAAAATAATTGGTAAAATTGCTTAGGACAACTTTTGAATGTTCCATCGACAAATAACGTAGCGGCTTTCTTGAGTTGTTCCAAGTTCTGCGTGCATGTAAATGTAATTATATTGTTGACAGAATCGTTGTCATAAATAAAGTTTTCTCCGAGATTAGTTATTAACGAATATTCACTGACACTTTTATGCAGTTCTTCAAGATTAGAAGGTAACTTGGGAATTGTTCTTAATTTAGCAGCATTCAAATTTTTACGGACTCTGTTAATATCATTTTGAAGTAGTGACTCACTATGACTGTTTGAAGCTGTTTCCTTGCGTATAATTTTAGATGGTCGCTCTATAATAAGTTCGTCACATTTTCTTTTTAGTGAATTTGTCAATTGTTGTCGCACAAGTTTACCATCATCTTCATTTTCGTGGTTATGTGTTAATACTTCTTCATATAAACAATCTCTGTTCAATTTAACGTATGCTTTACATTATCGTTTTGTACATATCCACCTCTATATGTTAGGTTCTTTTGGAATCCAAACTTGTAATTGTCAATAATCAACAACTTAGTTCCCTTTTCACTAAACATAAACTCCATAATTACGAAAAATTAAAATTCAAAAATATAAATTAAAATACGAAATACAAGTTACAAATTTACACGATGTGTTCACGATTCAAGACTGTGCTCTTTGCTCACCAACATTATTGTCATTCGTACATAAGATATTATAGACGATATACCATACAGCTATAAAAGTACATATATCTCAATCGTTATCTTAATTGATCGGGATATCACCGATAATTTGCTAAACTTCCAATATATAAATATATTGCCATCTTATTGTATATTATACTATAGATTATAGAGTGTAGCCGTGTAGGTACATTTATATTTTATACTGTCTAATTTATATTTTGTTCCAAATTAAAAATTACCTGTACACACACGGGAACCAATTCGACTCAACCTAATAAAATAACTTTTTTAAACGGGAACCAATTCGGCCTAACTTAATAAAATACCTTTTTCACACGGGAACCAATTCGGTTACTCCCGATTGTTCTCTCGCGCAACCCAAATGTTGGGAATCATAGTAATGCATATTATCGGTCGCGCATGTAAACTCCGCCACAAGTACTTTTTTTTTACAGTAAACTCCGCCACTAAAAAAATCAGGTAAAATTGAGTTCATGTAAACTCCGCCAGTGAAGAAAATCAAGTAGTAGTATAAAATTAATACGATATATTATTAAAAAAAAAAAAATCATAATAAATAATCGTTATACCTAATAATCCAAAAATATATAGTTGTGTCATGAATGTAAACTAAAATGATGTGATACAATTTGTAAATATTCAAAGTCTTGTATTACTCCATCAATGTACATATTTATAGCATTCTGTAACACTGTCATTTTTTTTTTTTATTTCTAATTTTTTGACATATTTATTTGAGATATGCCATTTAGTTTTATATAAGTATGGATTTAAAATTTGATAAGAACTTTACTAAAAATATGAACCTTCGGTTGACTTTTATAAAATTAATTTCTTAGACGACTATGAAAGGATTCACAGACGAAACACATAAAAAAACTGGTGGAGTTTACATTAGGCCTTTTATTACCGTTTTTTATCTTGACCGATTTTCTGGCGGAGTTTACAATCGCCTATGTTACCATAACGTTGTCTCGCAATCTCATTGGCCATATTATTCTGCGTGCACACAGATGTCGACATGCTGACCGTGGCCAAGTTTATAAACCTGATTCCGGCGCCGGTGCGGCTGTGGTGGTTCGGGCCGTACATCAGCGAGACGAGTCTGAACAAGATGACGGTGATGGACTTCATCCGGGACGACCGATCGTCGTTCGACCTGGTGCTGTTCGAAAACTTCTTTCACGAGTGTTTCGCCGCCATCGGCCACAAGTATGGTGCCCCGGTGGTGCAGCTACTGCCGTCCTCGACGGATGCGCGTGTGTCGCAGTGGCACGCCAACCCGTACGGGCCGGCCTACCTGCCGGACATGGCCAGTCGGTACGCGTCCAACATGTCGTTCGCGCAGCGCACCGCCAACGCCGCGGCCGCGTTCTTCTACACCGTGGCCAACCGCGCGTTCTACCTGCCCAGACACCGGCAGCTGGCCAACCGGTACTTCGTGTACCCGGGGCACGAGCACCGGCCCGACCTGACCGACATGCTGCGCAACATATCGCTGACGTTGATCAACAGCCACCCGGTGATCGGATCGCCCGCTCCCATGGTGCCCACCTACATCAATGTGGCCGGAATGCACTGCGTACCGTCCTCGCAACTGCCCCAAGTAATGCACGATATAGTATTGAATTCGAATTTTATAGTATTGCGTTTTAAATTAATTTTTTTTTTCAATTCATCCCGCGCGCCCGTTCAGGATCTGAAACGGATCATGGACGATTCCGATCGGGGCGTTGTGTACTTCAGCTTGGGATCGGTGGTGAAATCGTCCAAAATGCCCAACGAAACGGTGGCGCTATTGCTGTCTGAACTGTCGAAAATCGAACAGACTGTGTTGTGGAAGTGGGAAGCGGAACAGATCCCGCAACTGCCGAAGAACGTTATCGTTCGAAAATGGTTCCCGCAGAACGACATATTGGGTACGTAAATATAATACTGTTTACCCAATGCTTGACTAAAATTAGAGAAGGGGAACTCTGCTTTAAAAAAAAAGAGCGTCCTCAAAACTTGTTAAGCGTGTTATAATTATAAAGTAATAATAGTAAGGGACGCTAAAAAAATTCTGAAAATTAGTATGGATACTCCGTCCCCCTGCCTTCCTTTTCAAGTCGAACACTGTGTTTACTCATCCTTCCCCGCCTCACCCACATTTACTATTTTAATATTTTCTTGGGACTCTTTTATAAATTTAATTGTTCCGGAGCTGTGAGACGACTAACGGAAAACATTGTCTTCTACTCGAAAAGTGATGTTTGTCATTTAGCTTAAACTTCATTATATTGTTGCTTGTAGGTCATCCGAACTGTAAACTGTTCATTACACACGGTGGAGTTCACAGCACCATCGAGTCCATCTACCACGGCGTGCCGATGTTAGCCATACCTGTTTTCGGCGATCAGCTGGGCAATTCGCTGCGGGCTCAGTACCGCGGTTTGGCTATACAAGTTCCATACTTTGATTTGACACACATGGCGTTTGGCAGTGCTTTGTACAAGCTTCTTAATGACCCCACGTGAGTATCTTACTGACAAAAACTCATGTGCTAACATAGTGAGCCTTTCCTATTCGAAGTGAATGGGAATGAAATTGAAATGGTATCCCAAATCTAAAGCGTTTGAATCTTTCATGTTTGAATTATTCTTATTATCTAAACAGTGGCGCTGAACACGTACTCCAGGTAGTTCAATTGAACTGCCTAGAAAATTGGAATATTAAAAAAAATAAAAATATAATTTAATGAAAATTAAAAATTAAAATAATTTTTTTATATATATATAACTTGAAAATTATGTTCTATTTAAAATAATTGTCAAGTTTCAAACATTTAGTTACAGTGGCGTGGAATGAAATTGAAACTGCCTGTTCAAATAATTAGATTTACCCAACCACCCCTTCCAATTTACCACCCATTTAAATACCAAAACATTTATTATAAACATAGTATTATAACATAAAAACATTATAAACATTTCAATTTGATTTCATGCCACTGTAACGAAATGTTTATATGTTCAATTTAAACCACTATACCTACTTGTAACCTATTGCCTATTTATTTTATTTAGTCTAAATGAATTTTTTATTTTATTTTAAAACAAAATCCTATAAGTAACCACGATTTTTAATTTACTATTATGTTATATAGTATAATAAATACAACAAAAAATCGGGTTATGACAGTAAAAGTAATTATTTAAATAAATCGTTTACAATGTTGACATTTTTCATTATTAATCGGCCGTACACTCGTTTTATCGTAAATATGAATACAATAAATAAAGCCTAGTCAAATAATCTAAATTTAAGACATTGACAATTAACCAGCATTTAGCCTACTTTGCCGAAGATTACCATTGAACCTGATCCTACACAACGATTTTAACGATGAACATTTTTCAGGTACGGGGAAAACGCTCGAAATACGTCAGCTAAGTTTAAAGATAACCCGTTACCGCCGCTGGAGAACGCTATCTATTGGATTGAATATGTCCTCCGATACGGCGGAACAGCGCATTTGCGGACGGCCGCCAACGACCTCTACTGGTTCCAGTATCTTCTGTTAGATGTTCTGTTGTTGGTATTGTGCATGACCCTTGTGTCATTATGGGCAACCAAAAAAATGCTCGTGTTTACGGTCAACAGATGGTTTTGTCGTGGAGCACGAGATAAATTGTTGGTTGAGAAAAAGAAACAGTAATGATATCGCTGACCGCACGACAGCAGCAGCGACCCGATGATATAATAATATACTTAAGATATAATGATACAATAGTATCATTATATCCTAAGTATTTTCAATACTCACAATAAGCATTTATCCCGGGAAGAAATAATTTATAACGCGCTCTGCTGGTCGATAGACCGCTGCGCCGCGGATCAGAATGCAACAGCACTCTTGAAATCAATTGATCTTATTATTATAATTTTGCCAAATTACAGCAGCCACAATCCAGATGAGTTTGCTTAGTAAACTATTATTGTGATAAAATACTGTTGTTGTAAGTCGAGATGGTTCACTAATTACTTGATATCACATATTTAATGATTCAGTCTCCTATACTAAATAATAAAATATTATCATCGTTATATCTTACACATTAACAATTATGAGCTATTGCCTTAGTGTTGTTTATTATGTAAAGATTAAGTGCAGATTATAATTAATTATAACAACCAATTTATTTTTCAATATCAATCATTTTATATTTGTTACTGTTTAGGATAAATTGTGTTATTTGTATGAATTGTGAACCGATGTGACTTTAATGTCTTTATTTTTCAACCCATATTTTATTTTTGATATTTAATCTATAGTAGATTAATTATTTTTTTATGTTTATGTATTTACTATGAAAATGTAGATGTCCTATCGATTAACATATTTAATTCGTAAAGATGGCACAATAAAAAAAAAAAAATCTTTAATTTTATATTTATATTATAAATAAAATTGTATTATCAATTGGTTATGAATAATATTATGCTTTTATTATTCATTCAAGTTATGTAATACATTGAACTTTAGACTTATCCAATATTTATGGACTTTATAGTATATATAAGCCATAAAATACTAATTTCATTATATTTTATTTTTATGTTTTGAAACATATTTTTTCTATTATTTATTTTAATTATCATTGTTATATTTGATAAATTGTAAGTTTATACAATCTATAAATTATAATTTTATAATCTTACAAACGTATTTTATTATTTTTAGTAAATATTTATCTGAAAAATACTGTGATAATTTATTTATATTTATTACAACGGATCTCATGGAATTATAAATGTGTCAACAATTTATAATTATAACAATTAATGTAATTTAATATATTATTTTATTTGCTTGTTAGTTATTTGTTAATAGAATCAAGGATATGATTGACATAATATCATGTTGTTATTATTTTCTAGTATTTCCTGATTATATCAAGCTATTTCTCCGTATTGACATTGCTAAACACTTTTGTAAAAAGATAATTTAATTTCTGCCTTTGTTTGGCACTAAGAATTGGTTTAGAATTTTGTTCTCCAAAATGTCATTTGATGTCCAACATCCAACCTAAATAATACCCAAAATACATATAATAACTTGATATTTTTTAGCTAATTTATAAGTAATTTTTTTCTGCCATTTTTTAGGTTACTCTGTTGCTGATTTCAAATCTTGGTATTTTATTCGAGTTTTTTTTATGTTTCCAAATTCACTGAGATCTACACATAAGTTGTTTAAATTGCTTGGACTTATTCAGATGATTTCACCAAAACATAAGTTTTCTAGTTCTTCATTATTCTAAAAAAAATCCTCTATTGTTGATTTGTCCGATTTCATTTGGAATATGAGATGATTATCTGGGACACATCTCCTCTTACAGATTATGCAACAATTATTAGCATGAAAAATAGAAAGAAAAAAACAGTTAAAAATATTTCAATTGTAATATAACATCAATAAGTAATCATTACACATATATAATATGTACCCCAAAATTAATTTTAACGTTTAATATTTGTTCTGATTATAGAAGTTCAAACTATTTTATTATTATCTCTTTTGACTTAGAATTAGACTTAATTTAGTAAATTACTTTTACCAACAATAAGGTGTTTATTTAACATGAAGAATACACACACAATATATTATACATAGCTATCAATAAAGTTAGTTCAATGTAAAAAAAAAAAAAAAAATGATGCTGATGATCATAATTAACAGGAAAAAATAAATCAATTACCTACTGTAATGTATTTGTATAAAATACGAACAAAATATTTGTATGTTTTTAATAATTTTAACTCGACGTTTGAATATTCATTGGGAAAAACAATGATTTAAAAAATAATTGTTACTATTTTAGTTCAAAGTAAAATTAAACCATGTTCGTAATAATGTTACGTAATAATAATTAATAACACACTCCCGTTTAGATAAAATTATATAGGTTAATAATTGCGAAATGAAAGGTTTTCCCTGTATGTTACGTATTATTATGCACATAGCGGTGTATAGATTAGTGAATTCGAACATAGCAAATATTTCATGATCGTCGTATCACAAATCGGTAATCGCAATCATCGGATATTTTACAGCATAAAACGGTAATATCTATATCAGAGGTCGGCAACCTTCCTAAGTTGGCAAAAACATTCGTACATTTTTAGCTAAGACTGCATTTAAATACAAAACTAACCGAACTATCGTTCGTTTGACGCATCCAAAAATATACCGCAAATTATTTTGTTTTACTATACATTGATGCAGTTGCATTTGGCCGCAGGTATGTTATAATTATGAACACTTGATCTCATTGCAATTTGAAACCTTCATTTGCAGTTACACACGCTCGGGATAACATTTTTATGGTCCTCTCGGTATAGTAATACTGATAAGTCGCGCGTGACGTCAACGACTGGTCCATATCGTTACAGCTGTTTGATCTTTGATTTTAATTCTTCATTAATTATGCACGGTTCCGGATCTAGAGGAGGTGCGGGGCAAGAGCATGCGTGCCTCAAGCGCTGTTAAGGGCGCTGTTAAGCTTCTGGAAAATAAGGTCGTGAACGTACCCCGTACTTCGGAAGGGCGCTGCATTTTTATTAGCCCCGGGCGTCAAATTTCTCAGATCCGGCACGGCTCATACATAACGTTATGGTATTACAGATGTTTTCAAACAATTAAACGACAACGAATTAATGGCCATCGACACAGTACTCGGAGAGTATAAATACAATAACGATTATAATCGGACGCGGTGAGGTTAGTATAATCCGATTGTACAACTAAGTTATACATTTTATTTTTACCATTGTGAACAGTGTTTCACAGTAATAACACAAATTATATTAATATAATATGTGGTAATAACGAAATCAGCTACGAAGTAAAAAAAAAATTTTTTTTTTAGATCATACGTTTAGTTTATACACAACTGTGGGGTTATGTGACGTGCGCGCGCGATATTATTGAACGAAGAAACACGAAAAAAAAAAACAATTTTTTCACGGGGACAATTTTGAACATGGCTTCAATCGATTGCGCAACAGCTAGTAACGATAAAAATATGAAATAAAATGTAAATGTCGCGCGGCTGTCAGCGAAAAACAAACGTTCGCACTCGACTGCAACGTCGAAACCGCATTCGAAATGCTGTGCTACGTGTGACTACGACCAGCGTGTGCATAGGCAACCGAACATCCTACACCGGCGAAAATATTGAACTTCGTCAGTTGCAATAATATTGAGAATAATTCTTCGATCCCGTCGGCCCTTGTTGCTTCGTAGTATCGATGGACTTCCGTAGACCGTTTGTCGTGAGTGTTACTCGTATTATAATGTATAGAACAGGGGTGCCGAACCTTTTTTTTGGTTCAAGTGCCAAATTTTTCCTTTTTAGGTTTTGAATATCGTTCACGTGCCCAAAGAAAATTATATTTCCTAAGACTAAAAATAAAATGACAGACTTATTATATTATTTTTATTACATTTCAGTAATTCTTAGTGAAACACAAGCAGCAATTGTTTCATTGGTCAAAACGTTTCTTTCCTTCGATTTAATTAAATTTATTGTGGCGAATAAGCTTTCGCAAACATAAGTTGATGAAAAACATGAAAGCATAAGGAATATTGACATTTTTATAACATGCAATTTGTTTGAATTTCTTACAACTAACATTTTATAAATAGTAAATTTTTTTTTTTTTTTGTGTACAATTTTTATTAATTTCAATTTCTTGCACGTGTCATTAAAATTTGGTCAACGTGCCATCTTTGGCACGTGTGCCATAGGTTCACCATCCATGATATAGGACGAACCATAAACGTACTGAAAAATATCTGTCTACGTAAAGACGTCTTATAACGTGAAGCCCAGTCGAGTCGTGAATACTTACTCAAATTTCGATCGAAAGCATTACCGTTACCATCACGAATCAATGAATAATTGATTTATCTAACAACGCGAAATTGTTCAAAGCTCGTATTCTTTGTCTTCATCTCGGTATTTCCGTTATAGAGTTTTTAGCTACTTTCCCGTGTTTTTTATTCAACGTAGTAATTATTAATATTGAACCAAAACATTTTACGTTTCAAAAGTAAGCTATACCGTTATGATCGTGAAACTTTTGATTACATATAATTTACATTACATTTCGTTATGATGCCTTCATAGGTCATAGATAAATGAAAATTATTTTAATAAAAAATATAATTATTTTAAGGTGCTACTGCTGATTGGTTTCGGTTGTTCCGGATTACCGAACGGGAAATCCTCTAATATTTTGGCTTTTCTGCCGACCGAAACCAGGAGTCATTTTAACGGCTTCAAACCTCTTCTGGAAACGCTTGTGGCCAGAGGACATAACTTAACTTTGGTTTCGCCTTTTCCGCTGAGTCCCGTTACGGATGACGGGTCGCCGTTGTTGTATACGCACGTACAAGTAGAATTCCACAACAAGGTATCAGGTATTTAACATTTGGAGTATATAAATATCTGACGACAATAAAAATAGTATGAAACAAGCATACAAATAATAAATTAAAATTAGTTGAGCAGGTAGATATTAAAGAAATTTTTTTTTTTAGCTAGTATTGAATTTTTATTTTTTAATATGTTTTGATTTATAAAATATGTACATGTATAAAAATATAAATGTATAGGTTATAAACTAGAAGTATTATTAGTATTCATCTTTCATTAAAAAAATCTAGTAGAGTATCATAAATAAGTAGCTATGTTATTTAATGAGCATGTAATGAATGAAAATAAAAGTGAATATTTTTTTAACGCAGAAAATCAATATAATTAATCGATTCAACTGCCAACACCAGTTGATAATGCATTAACATTATTCATAATCGGGTATATTTTCATATGTTTTATAAATTTAATCAATATTCAAGTTTTTATAAAATTGAAAATCACTTTTAAAAATATAATTCTAGGTACTCATCCTAATTTATATTTCTGTTGCAATGAAGATATATTTTTATAATATTCTTACGGCACTCGCATCATTTTAATAATACACTAATAACATTTATCATCGAACAAGAAAATAATTTTTTTTTTTACCAACGTTTAAATCTATTACATGTTTTATTCCGTTTATGGTTGATACATATCTAGGCCAATATAGGTCATGATGTTTTTTTCTTTCTGTTATACAACTTTGTTTAACTCGAGTAATTTAGTTTATCTAAAATAAATTATACAATAAAAAGAGCATGGAAACAAAAAATTTTTTCATATTTAAAATTGTACGTCTGTAGGTAGTTGTAGCGAGTCTCGACCTGAAGTGGTTGAGCTTGTACGATTATTTAATGACGGAGGTCTCGCTGTTGGCGGTAGATGGAAACGTCAGAGATTTAGATAAAATACACGAACGTTTAATATGAATGTTAAAACTTTATTAAATCAAATAAAAATTATAATGAAAATTAACAAATTACTATTTAATACTAAGGTAATCTATGGTTCAGCTGCAAGGAGTAAAACATAGACTATGTGTTGAGGCAAAGATATAAGTTAGTTCTGCCCTAGTATAAAAACGTATCCGTATATATACTAGTGCTACTCCTACGTTACGTGCTTCTGTAAGGAAATGCAATAAGGAAATAGTAAAACCAAAAGACTCATGGGTACCGAGGTCTCCATGGCCTCGGATAGTCCATGAGGTATTACCTTCGATGTGTTAGCTCTATCTAAAGGTTTCGTAATCCGGATAGAATTACTATACTTGTAGTCGACGTGCTTGTAATACCTATGGGATTACTATACTCCTCTCCCATCAGAACGAAGCCCTTGGATTTCGTAGTATTGTTAATCTAAAGTACGTAGTACGTCATTGGTATTGTTTCTTCTGTTTCAAAAGGGTGTTCTTGGGATGTGGTTTGTCTTAATGGAATGGCTTAATGGCGTCTTCGTCTTGCCTATGCTTCAATACTTTTTGTGATAATTTGATTACTGTATTTAATGGCCAGTATGACAAGACCCACAAAAAGGACAATGCCTATGACATATAGCAGAGGTTCCCAAACTTTTCCTACTCGTGGCGCTCTTAATAAAATTTACGACCTTTTTTTTAAATAAAATAATAAAATAACAAACATGTATAATTTTCAATAGATAATATGGAAATATTTATTTTATATAATTATACACTGAAATATTTAATTTTAATTTTATTAGGTAAAGTAAATTAGACATAGTTTATTTGTAGAAAACAACTGAATTAGTGAGATGGATGAGCCTGGACATCACTGCATAATTTTTCAAATCTTGGGATCAAACTTGATACTGCTACTCTCATTTCCTTCTCCACATTGATTTTTGACCGATATTTGCTTTTTATCACAGCGACCGCTGAAAACCCAGCTTCACATAAATATGAAGTAGAAAACGGAATTAAAACACGTAGAGCTTTTTCACATACAAGGGGATATTCATTTTTTATTGAAGTCCAAAATTTCATCAATTCCATATTTAAAAATTTTGATTTTAAACTACTGTCGCAAGACAACTCAATTAGACTTTCTTCTTCAGTAGAAATAAATTCTGATGGAACAATGGAGTTAAATGGATCTTGAATCCATGCAAATTTATCAGTGTCTTCATTTTTAAAATATTTCTCAAACCATATCACTAGCTGTGATAAGTGATCTTCAAAAATGGATTACATATCTTGAGAAATCTCAACTCTATTAGAGGTCAGAAACTGCTGCAATATGGAAAAAGAATCTTTGCTCGTGTCTTCATTCATTTGTCTTCTCCATAGTTTGAGTTTTTTTATAAACGCTGTCATTTTATCCATCGACTTCAAAATGTTCATATTATTTCCCTGCAATGAGGTGTTCAATGCATTCAGTTTTTAAAAAATGTCACACAAGTATGCCAATTTTATTAAAAAATTTTCGTCAGAAAATTCATTGGCATATTTGTGTCCTTCTTCTTTAAGGAATATATAAATTTCTTGCCGTAGTTCAAACGTACGTGATAAAACATTACTACGAGATAGCCATCATGCACTGCTGTAGTACAACAAACTTGAGTGTTCAGCTCCTATATCGTCACATAATTTTTTGAAAAATCTTGCTTTCAATGGACGAGTTTTTATAAAATTGACTACATTCACATTCTAATACTTGGTTCAGCGCGGGACTTAGATATTTTGCCGCAAGTGGTCCTCTATGGATAATGCAATGGGTCCACAGTGCATCAGGGGCTTTGCTTCCAATAAGTGATTGTAATCCTCCATAATTGCCAGACATGGAACGATCGCCGTCAGTACAAACACCGACGCATTTAGTCCAATCCAACATATTTTCTGACATACAATTATTAAGAATATCAAATAAGTCCTGAGCTTTGGCGCTTGCTGTAATATTTTTACAAAAGAGTAGGTCTTCTATCATCATTTATAAACCTAACATAGCATATCAAATGAGTATCCTTATTAGTATTCGTAGCCTCGTCCAGCTGCAACCCAAATTCCCTTTCTTTGATTTTTTCTATCAGTTGATCATTGAGGTCCTCCGCCATATGGTGAATTCTGCGGCTTTTTTACTGTTTCACCGCGACTGGTTGATGGTAAAATTTCTTCGTCTTCACATGTACTTGTACGTTTACGATTGTTTAATAAAAATCGATCCATAATAAATAAACACAGAACAAAGTTACAACTTAAAGAAAATCACAGAACTTACTATATATATATATTCTTAAGAAACTTTAACAAAATATTATAACACACCGAGACTGATTCGTATACGTGTATAGGTAATAAATAGGTACTAACGCAAAAACGAATTTCACCAGACACGAACAGTCGTTTATCTATATCAAATACAATAATTGGTTAGTATAGTAATAATAACTTATTCTAGGAATCAAGATAATGGTAATAAAAATGACGGTATTCGTCATCATAAAATACCGTTGTTTATTTTTAGACCAGATAACATAGTCGACATCGAGGCACAGCCGCGGCTCCCCTGACAACACACCGCGGCGCACAGTTTGGGAACCTCTGACATATAGTAAATAATAACTATGCTGATGTCCTTGCTCCAATTGCCTGATTTTATTTCCACTCTCCAGCTGCTCTGGAGTCTTGGCTACCGGTAGTAGATCACCCACCTTGCTGTTGAAAACTTGCTTGTTCTCCATAATATCCTCTGTAACTGTTAGCAAAAACCATTCGTCTAAATCAGGAATAAACGATCCTGGCACAAAATCTTGGTATTCTTGGTTGTGCACTGGCCCCGAAATTAGTATATCCCTAGTTGCATACGCCTTGCATGTTTTATTTAACAATATCTTTCCAACCCCTTTGATGATGTGACTGGTCGACTGCTTGTCTTCGTCACATGTAACGAATAGTGTTTCGCCTTCTGTGGTGTATAACCACTCATTCTTAAATTTAAGTTTGTGAAACACAGATGTAGCTATTTGCACTTGCAGTAGGCTGCAATCTTCAGGTACCTCCTTGGGATCTTGTGAGAGTAGAATCTCACAAATTGGTTTTCCACTTCTTGGATGTAGAGGATGGATTTCAGGACAAAGTAGGAAGTCACGTGAACGTTAACAATTTGCTTGTTCAAAATTATCGTAAGTGGAATATAGTTCATTGGATTGACTTACGGCCAAAAATAGCTAGGTTTAATAAAAATACAATTATTGTTTTCGCATACTGACTTAGGGATTAAATAAAAAGAGTTAATATGTGTTGTTAAACTAATGTTATGCTTATCTTAAAAACTAAATGGTCATTATTATAATATACAGCCAGTTCCGAGAGTTTAAGTAATTTGTAGGAGTTCTCTAGATCTAATTCTATGGATAAATCTGCCCCACTTGGAAGTCCTAACTTAATGTCCTTAAATTGTTCGAGGAGTTCAGAGGGACTCAGCAGACTTGGATGTATTTGTCCTGTTTTTGCATCTTGCACTATTTCCCCTTTAGTATCAATTTTCATGGAATATTGTGCAAGAAGTACATTTATGAATATAAAATTATTTACAATTTGAAACCCCTTTAAAGCTCCCTCTGCTGCAGTTCTAATTCGTTCTAGAGTAACCGCATGTTCTTCCAATTGAGTGCTTCCTTCCTTTGAGTCAGATCTACTGTTTTGAGCTGTTTTTCCTCGTCTCTAAATTATTTTGTCCCATCAAATTTCATTTGATCTTGTCCCATTCATTTTAAATAATTATTTATAATATACATTGATTTATATAACATACTACTACCGGACATTTTCGTTGTACTATCAGCTAAATAATTGAAATTTAACTCAAATATATTATTTATTTGAGTTAGATTTTATTCAGTACAACATAAAGATCATGATTTCAGTAATTTAGACTAAATACTAAATCTTTGTCACTATTTTTCACAAATAAATTTCGTCAAAACTGATTTTGATTAGTTAAAACCAGAAATAACCAGAACATTAATTTTGATACTAACTTTAAAATACAATTTTGTAACAAAAGTCAATCAGAGGTAGGTATAATTTTTATTATTTATTTTGAAAAGGCAAACTATGGTAGAATTAAGAGTTGTATGGTATTTATCGTGGCATAATTTATGAAAATAAATTAAGTTAACATTGACCGACCGCTGATCAAATATCGACAATCGTAACAATATACCTAATAGTAGTATTAATATAAAATTCTGTAATGACCAAGTATCTAGCTTCAGAAGTCATGTGGAATACATCGCTCCTTAAGAAAAAAAAAAAAAAAAATTTTATGTAACTTTAAATGCCACAATAGAATTTGCATTATCAAAAGTTCTTATTTTTTCTCTCATACAGTGAAAACCACATAACCCGAACAAAAGCTTTGCTGTTTTGACTATTGCTCCCGATGATATGCTCCTTTTTGTTCTTCCACTGTGGATGTAATGAATGTTCTCCTAAAATAATGGATTAAATGGATTTGGGCGCATAACACTTGTTTATAATGTGCATGTATAACCAGTGATGTTCCCATCGATTTTATTAAGAGTGTACTACGCCGAAGAATGTCTGAATATGAACATTTTATGATCTAGGTGGTGGAAGAGGGTTGCAAATATTAACAAACAATTGACATGTATGTATATTTGATTCTTACGGAAATAGATTCTCCGTATCACGGTCGTTAATAAATAGTGTAGGTACCGATAATTATTATTCCGTTGCAGTATACTAATCGTCCCAGGCAAACATGAATGTCTATTACAAAACAAAGCCAGAATTAAAACCTGTATAACTGTATTACATTTAATACTCCTCGCTTGGGACTTGAAAGTATTCCTGTAAATTTTCAAAATAATGTTGAGAGTACACGGCGTACACGTAGTATACCCTATGGTATAATACCACTGTACATAATTCTGCGGGAAAAATGTTATAATCATAATTTTAATTTTTAACACTTTCAGTTGAAGTGCTATTACAGCATACATTGTTAGTACTCCACCCACACAGCATTTGTTAATCAAAACGATTGTATAAATATTTAATTTTGATTAGAATTAAAATATTTAAAATTAAAAGTTAATACTTTATTGAATAAATGTATTGTTATTTTATTTTAAAAATAAAGTATTTTACAATATTTATTAAATATTTTAATATTTATATTTGATTTTCAATGGTAATAGTTATTAAAATAAACTTAATATATTAACTTTTATTCAATTTGAGAGTTTAAATACTTATTTAATACTTAACTCTCAATATTCACAAAATATTCATAATTTTAATTAAATTTATAGTTTATATAGATTTAAAAATAAATATTAAATTTTCATGTATTTAAATACCTATTGATACGCAATATTGTATATTTGTACTTCGTTATTCAACTTTTCTGAATAATATCCATATAAACGTAAAACATAGGTTGTACCTATTTATTTTATAAATAAATAAATTTTCGATATGTAAAAATAATATAAATAGACTCAGGGCCATTAACATGGGTAGGGAAATTTACGGGATCAAACCCCCTAATTATTAAAAATTTGTAACTTACAATATTATTTATGAGTTATTAAATTACTTCCATAAAAAATGAAATAACTGAAATAACTTAACTTCCAAGAGGGGGTTACAGCCTTCCCCCTCTTACTATATCACTTAGTTAAGTATATTTTTAAAGAGTGTTATACAAAAATATATACACTGGTATATTATTTATCATATCTTCTATTGGTCGTCTATATGTCAATAAATAATAATAATATTAACAAGCAATATTTAATAACATATATTACATTTTAATCATTAATTAATGTATAATTTTGAACCATCAACATTTATTTAATCTTAATTAAATATTAAGAAATATCAATAAAATATTGATTAAATTTTGTAATTAAAATATGAAACTCTTGGAGAGTTATAAAAGCCAGAAGAAGAAGAAGAAGAAGAAGAAGAATTAAAATATTGCAACAACCATTGGTTTTTAAATTGTATACAACGTTGGTTTTTAAACACAATATAAATAATTAAAATTGGTTCAAAAAATGTTTTATAGTGGTTAATTAACATTTAATAACTTATATCAAATGAAATTTAAATGTTGACACAACTAAAAATCTTTTCTTACTTTAAAGTTGAAATGTTGATTTAAAGTTAAATAAATATTGCAGTGCTGTGTGAGCAACTACTAAGAATAATTGTAAAACCGTACGTACCAGTATATATTTTTTTTTCTTGGGGTCTATTCAGGGTACTGTCCTTTCGTACATCCATAGTCCTTCAATATTTCCTATCGGTCGCTCGTGCCTTCCGGCTCGGTCTCCTTCCGCCCGGTACATTCTATACGCGCGATTACAGATCGTCGCAAAGCGTTCTGTTCAAACGCGCCAGCAGGATAAAATCCCACCCGAGGCAAGATTAAAATTCTTAGGGCCAAAACAACGTGTATCTAAAATTAGATGAGAACAAAATCAAATACCATAGAAATCGGTATTCGGGAGAATTGATAGTTTTAAGCGATATGCAGTCATGCGTAAACATTATAAACTAATGAATACGTTTCAGATTATCTAAAAATATAATACATTTTACTAAATTTCATGAACGAATCTCAATAAAATTATGTTATAATTAATATACGCGGTATTAAATTAGTAATAGTTTTGAAACAAAAATTTCCAACAGGGGCAATGGCCCCTTTGCCCCCTCCTGCGGGCGCGCATGGTTCTGTTGAACTACTAACGACGCACTGGGCGCGAAATAATCAACGGGGTGAATGACGTTGAATGGAAAATAATTCCGCACCACGCGTTCGTCCCGCACGTCGGTAACGCAGTAAAAACCACCGGGTAACCGCGGTCGCGTTGTTGCAGGCGTCGATTTCCTGGACAAGAACAGCGAGACGAACACGTGGCCGTCGTACGTGTACGTGCTGTGGCTGGGCCCGCGGATCACGAGGTTCGCGGTGGACAAGCCGTCCGTCAAGGAGTTCATCCTGAACGACGGCGGCCGGTTCGACGTGGTGATCATCGAGAACTTCTTTCACGAGTGCTTCGTCGCGCTGGGCCACAAGTACGGCGCGCCGGTGGTGCAACTGCTGCCGTTGGCCGCCAACTCGCGGGTGTCCCAGTGGCACGGCAACCCGTACCATCCGGCGTACATCGCCGAGCTGTTCAACGACTATGCGGCGCCGATGACGTTCCGCCAACGGGTCGGTAACACCGTGTCCGCCGCGTTCAACACCTGGGTCAACCGTCTGGTGTACATGCCTCAGCAGCGGGCCATCATGCTAGAGCACTTCCGGTACCCGGGCCACGAGCGCCGGCCTGACCTGGACACGATGGTCCAGGACGTGTCGCTGACGCTGGTCAATAGCCATCCGCTGGTCAGCTCCGTGGCGCCGTTCGTCCCGGGCTACGTGCAGGTGGCCAGCATGCACGTGCAACCGGTCAAACCGTTACCCCGGGTAAGGCTCTACGATCGCGTTCCGATCACTTGTACAATCATATGAACACCGAACTCAACAGGACGATGTCGATTTGTGTAGTCTCTGTCCGTTTAAAAGGCAATATTCAATTATTCATGTATCTGTAGGTATGCATCGCTATTATACGAATAGACTAATGTTTTAGATTAAAATATTTTCAAGTACATGGCATTCGGTAACATGTTTGTTAAGTATCTACCGGATAAAAAGTTTCGACTGTTTAAATCTAAAACAAAAACCTCTGTTACTTCTTTGTCAGTTGATATTCTACAAAAAATTTATTAAAAAAATAAAATAATCGTCATGCTCTCAAATATATGTTTCTCTATAAATATTATGATATCGGTTTAAATTTTGACAAAGACTTCTAAACATGAGATGACATCCTCTTAATATTTTAAATCGTAACAGTCATTAATATTATTTTCTTTCCAGGATCTTAAAAACATCTTGGACGCGGCAGAACGTGGAGTGATCTACTTTAGTTTGGGCTCGGTAATCAAATCTTCGAAAATGCCTCGAGAAACTGTTGCGCTTTTGTTGTCCGAATTCGCCAAGATCGAGCAGATAGTACTGTGGAAATGGGAGGACGATCAGTTGCCCGATCTGCCGAAAAACGTTATCGTCCGCAAATGGTTTCCGCAAAACGACATACTATGTACGTAATCGAGTAAAATGTTCTCATGGGCAGCTCTAACTTTTGGTCACCTATCTGAAATAGATGTGATCGACGTTTTAACCATTTCGTTGAAGTCCGTTCACCAATCGAACGACTAATCCGTAATGTTCCAACACATAAGTATAATACTGTTATCGAATTTTTATAGTATGGCTGTGTTGTATAATGTACACTATATAACGACGTATCAAAATACTCGTAGCTTACGACCTTTGTATAGTTGTCTGCAGTTTGCTTGTATATTTACTGTATATATGTAAAAGTTAAAAGCTAAAATTTGTCAAAACTAGTTTTTACTAATTTTTATTAGTCGATACTAGTTTTCACAATTCAATTTTGCCAAAACTGATATTGACTAATTAACCAGAACTTCAATATTGTTATTAGTTTTCAAATACAGTTTTGTAACAAATGTAAATTTGAAATAAGTATAATTTTTATTATTTTTTTTGATAATGCAAATTCTATTGTGGCATTTAAAGTTACATAAATTTTTTTTTTTTTTTTTTTTCTTAAGGAGCGATGTATTCCACATGACTTCTAAAGCTAGATACTTGGTCATTACAGAATTTTATATTAATACTACTATTAGGTATATTGTTACGATTGTCGATATTTGATCAGCGGTCGGTCAATGTTATCTTAATTTATTTTCATAAACTATGCCACGATAAATGCCATACAACTCTTAATTCTACCATAGTTTGTCTTTTCAAAATAAATAATAAAAATTATACCTACCTCTGATTGACTTTTGTTACAAAATTGTATTTTAAAGTTAGTATCAAAATTAATGTTCTGGTTATTTCTGGTTTTAACTAATCAAAATCAGTTTTGACGAAATTTATTTGTGAAAAATAGTGACAAAGATTTAGTATTTAGTCTAAATTACTGAAATTATGATCTTTATGTTGTACTGAATAAAATCTAACTCAAATAAATTATTTATTTGAGTTAAATTTCAATTATTTAGCTGATACTACAACGAAAATGTCCGGTGGTAGTATGTTATATAAATCAATGTATATTATACATAATTATTTAAAACGAATGGGACCAAATTACATGTAAATTTAAGTGTAGGAAACGGAAGTTTTTTTTTTTTTTTAATATTGGCGGAAACATAATAACGTTTTATATTTTTTTCAGCACATCCCAACTGTCGACTGTTTATCACACACGGCGGCATTCACAGTTTGATCGAGTCTATCTATCACGGGGTTCCCATGCTCTTGATACCTGTGTTCGCTGACCAGGTACACAACGCTGCCGAAGCCATGCGCAGGGGGTTCGCTTTGTACGTACCTTACTTCGAATTAACAGCCGAAGAGTTTAGCGAAAAACTTCAAACGATCCTGCAGGACCCTGGGTAAGTAACGCCGTTAATTTTATGGGTCTACCGTATACGGCCAGTTTAATCTTCAAAAAAATTAAAATATCTCAGCGATGGAGGCTAACAAGGAGCTATGGGCAGTACCATGCCTAGCATAATTAGCGCCCTCACTCCTCTTCCAAATATTTTTGAATCTTTAATTATACCTAAGCTTGACATGTAGACCATGGCGTTAAGCGTGTTCAATATTTTGAATTAAATAACATGGTTAACTTTCAGTAATATTATTTAGATTATGGAAAAGCCTTTGACGCCCCAGTATTCACGCACCTCTCACACACCCCTAGGTACGGCCTTGGCTATGGGTCAACGGACGTATTGATACGTTTGAAAATGTTTAGCCACTGGCCACCGTAAAATTAAACTATCCCTAGCCCGGTGTTTCTCAACCATTGTTATCCAGGCGACACATTATAAAAATATTTCATAATTTGCAATGCACCGCAAAAAAAAAAAAAAACTTTAAACAATATAATGTACGTATGTGTTTATTAACATTTTTATTCCAACGATTAAATAATGTTGTCGAAAAGTCTCAAACACATACGTTCTAAGCATTAATTTTTTTTATTTCGTTACATCAAATATTCGTTTTCGAATAAATTACATAGTAAACGTCTACGATGTTTACAAAAATGTTGATTTTGATCCGTTCAATGTAACCGGTCTGGAATTATCCAGAAACACGGTGTTTGAGAAACACTGTTATAGCCGTGAGTTTTCCACCCGCAGTTCGGCTATCGATTTCGTACGAAATTTAGGTTCGACGTAGCGGCCGCGAAAGCATCGTCGATAATGCTGGACAATCCGATGTCCATCATGGACACCGCCGTGTTTTGGATCGAGTACGTGATTCGACACAAAGGAGCCGAGCACCTGCGCACCGCCGTCAACGATCTCTACGGGTTCCAGTACTACCTTTTGGACGTAGTCGCCGCCATCTCGTTAACGCTGGCCTTCGTTTTGTATTTCAATTATATTGTTTTCGTATATGCAAAAAAAAAATTGTTCCGTAAAACCGACCGTAGCAAAAATCTTTGAACGTAAAAATGAAAACCGATTACCTATTAACTGCTTGACGTCTTGCACGACGATACTGTTCGTGATGATACATTTTTTTTTATTGTATAACGCATTTGATGTATAATGAATAATATATTACACGTGAGCATAAGCGTGCACACGGGGTAGTCAGGGTAGGTACTTGACTATTCTGTGAAACTTCCCACCCTCACCAAAATATTCAATATGATCACAATAATAAATAAACATACTATTTTCAACCACTTCGAAACATTAGTTAACGTTAAAAAAAATGTAAGGATACTGGAGAAATATAGTTTTTAAGTTAAATGAAGTTACGAATTCAAATTTTTTGTTAATATTAAATGATAATGTATTATGTTTGACTACCTTGCCAGTTATGTCTGCACACGCTTATGCACGTGAGTGATGAATTTGATACGATTAATAATTGTTATTGAAATCGGTTATACGTTACATGAATAAGTTCTTAAGTTTAAGTTATGATATTGTTACAAGTTCCATTAAATTAAATAACGTTAAATATAATGTTATGAGTGTTTAAATGTTAACGAATAAGAGTAGGTGAGAACTGAATATAATATTTATACTAGGGTGGTCCTCAGGGTCGTCTTTAGGGCAGGGCGAGAGGGGCTCTCGCCCCGGGCCCCGCGCTCTCACCACAACAGTTGGACAGGCCTTGCTTTTATATATCATAGATTTAATAAAAAAAAGTTAAATCGATGAGCAAAAAAAATGCACATATAATTTTTTTTAATTTAAAATTGTTTTTTATATAATTAATTAATTTACTTATACATATTGTTGTAAGTGCAAGGTACTATATTTGTTAAGACTATTTTCGCACATTTGAGTAACTGACGCGCGATAGTAATATTTTTGACATTTAAGGCCCTGAAATGTTACTCTGCCCCGAGCCCCACAAATCATCAGGACGGTCCTGATGGTCCTTAAAACGTTCGAATTCTTATATTTGGACCAATATATCGGAAATATCGATATTCTATTATTTTATTATAACAAGTCCCCGCGACATAAATGTACACAAGTAATTGTGGATTTTTCAAATCATTTAAAATACATATATACTAATTTAATTACACATTGTATATATAATACATATTCAACGCACAGCTGTGTGATTGTAGTATGAATTATTATATGCGATAAATCCAGTGTTTGTTTCAAACCTTCTATCCCGGAAGGATATCGTAAATTTTCGGGGGCGGCAAATTATTTTCACTGAAATTAATACATAATACTCATACGATATCACACTGATTATACAACCTCAACTGATATTTTGTTAAAATTACTAACGTTATCATTTATAGAGGTAATTTTACAACTATTTCAATAAAAACAACAATAATACAACGAACTAACCATATTTTGAGTTACCAATTGACTGAATGAATCGTTGAATAAATCAACTAACTTAATTTATAAAGAAAAATCTTAATCCTAAAAGTTATTTAAATCACTTATACTTAATAATAAATAAATGAAGGAAGAAACAAAAATAATCGTTCAAATTCTACTAAAAAAATCAATAAAATTTCAATATGTTCCTTCAAATGAGAATAGAACTACGAAACTATAAATTCTTGAGAATTTAACAAAACGAAAAGAACGAGTTTTTTTGAATTCGAGAAAAAAATTCCTTATGTCATACCTGCAAAAGACTTGTAAGTAAACCAAACTATACTTTCATCCAATAAATCATATAATATATTATATTCATTATTTAATCAAATAATCATATAACAATATGTACCTATCTAAATAAATAACATAGTTGTCGCAGATAATTATTTAAAATGATTAATATGAATGTATTTTTAAATAAATATTGTTAAAATAATTTTTTTTTTAATTGTATATCTATAATTGTAGAAATTTATTGTAGCCTAAAATATTTTTTTGAGGGGACCCTGGGCTATAGTCCGCTTATCCCCCCCCCCTTAATCCGACTCTGGGTATATTTGACCCTGTGAACCTGTTGTATCACCTACAATTTATCCTTCTTTTAAATATATAGCTGTATCCCGTGCACATCGTTGCACGTAAAAATCGTTATACGGATTATATTGTTCTATTTTAATTATTTTTTTAATTTTAAATACTTTTTTTTTTTTAATAATAGTTATCTTGTTATTAGTAGTCATTATTGCATATAATATGATTTTTTTTGAGATATTTCCTTAAAAAAAATTTAACACTATTTTAATTAATTAATTAATTAAATTAAATTAAATACTTCAGAGTAAATAACATTTTTTGTTTTCAAACCATCTGGTATTATAATGAACGGATTTTCTGGTATACCTGTTCTTCATAATCTTACATATAACTGTCTATGTGAGAAATAGAGCGCAAATCAATATTAACATATTGAAATTTTTGGCCTTGAGCTAAACATTTATAAGATATCAAAGTAGGCAATACAAATTTTTTGACAGAGAGGAAGAACAAGTAACAGAAAATCTAATGACTGGTATATGCATATTGTTCATTCTCTAAATAACCTGTATACATATATATGTACATTTTTATCTTGAAAAATGTAATGGGTAGGACTAGTAATGGTACGCTTATATCAAAATGTTTATAAATGTTACTAGCCGCTTAATTTAATTTCTGAGCAGGGTTGGTACTAACTTTGATAACCAACCTCATAACTATAAAATTTGTGGAACAGCAAATTATATGTGTTTTAATAGTTAGGGTCAGGGTTACTCTCGTACATTTTAAATAACATAAAAAAAAAAGTTTTAATATATAAAAATTTTCAAAACTGATAACTTTTAATAGTAACTTAATAAAATAACTGTAGAGTTAAATAGTTTGTAATTATTTTGATATCATAAATGGTATGAACGTAACATTTAAAGAAAAACGTATAACGGTAAATCTTTGTATACCAAAAATATAAAGTAAATCAGAATTTGTCACTATTTAGTTATAAGTTACAACAAACGGAACTCATCAATATGTATAATGTTATATTATATTTGACGGGTAAAAATAAGCTCATGGACTTACATTTTGCAAATACAATGTTTCTATTCTCTAGATTCTGAAAGATTAAATTAAAAGTAAGCTACAGCATGGTAATAATATTGAAATCATACATAAATGAATTTACGTGAAATCTAATGTTTAATACAAGATATTTTGTACCAAATGATTTCTTTTGCAGTCCATAAAATGTAATGCACTATATATATAAGTATTATATCTAGAAAGTTTGCAACTTTCGAATTATATGGAAAACTATATATATGAAAGCAAATGATAAGATATTTATTGTATTTTCTGCACTGTAGTACAATATTTATTGGTTCTCATTTTATTATTTTCAATAGTTGTATATAATGAATATAATACTTGAATTTTTTCTTACTCTAACTGCCTGCGATTCTTAAACATTTCTCTAGTTCGTTCTTGCTCGAGTACTGTGTTTTTATTTGGTACACATATCTAATTGCGAAGGATCAATTAAAATAAGAGCGCATACAAAATTAATTTCTAGTGCCTTTATTCTTAAGAAACCTGATCCATGTCACGATTATACTCACTAACTCGTACTTATGTAAAGCTTTAAATATTTAGTCACTCCATTCCACCAGCCATTCTCAGATTCTCAGGCCAACCAAAACTACCATTGCATTACTATTATATACATTCTTTTTTTCAGTAAATTTTCTTATAATACCCACAGTGGAGGACAGTTATCCCTATATTTGGTTATTATAACCTTATATATCGCATGCGTCACTTAAATTATAAGTAATTTTATTTTTCTCGCTATCATATTTGTTATATTTTTATGCGTATTTAATTTTTATTTCTGTATTTGTTATTATTTTTGTTCTCATATTATACTTTTATTTCTTGCTATCCATCAAATATCATGTTGTAATAATGTCTCATGACGTTCATTTTATAGAATAAATAAATAAATAATCATGGTCCTTCTAACAAATGTTAAGATACCAAAATTTCTCTAAAACTGTATACATATGATATTGGTGAAAAAATATCGGACTCTTAAATATTGGTTTATTATTTTGAATCATTCAGCAATAAAATTGATTATTGATGATTAACTATAAAAAAGTATTACTTTCTTTTTATTTTATGAATTATAATAGAGGTCTTAGGTATCTTTTTTTGGGTCGTAATAATTATGTCAATAATTGATCAAATGTTGTTTTATTTATTTTTGTTTAAAGATCATCAACATGAAGAAATATTACAGACTAGAAGAGGCAGGGTTAAAACTAAAAACTACAAATGTACATTTTTTAGTTCAAAAATAAATTCATTGGGATATAAAGTTTCGAAGGATGAAATTAAATTATTAGAAAAAATTAAGAAACAACGAAAACATTTTCAAATCCAAACAGTTTAAGAAATACGAGCATTTATTGAATTAACTAGATATTATAATTAATACATTATATATTTTGCAAAAGTTGCTAACGTTTTTACTGACTTAACAGAAAAGCTTCTTTAATTAAAAAAAAAATATGTAAAATAGCCTTTGAAATTATACAAGCCGCTATTATGTTAGCATCTGTCTTTGTAAATTCTAATAATGTATTTTCATGACCATGGATGTGTCTTTAGAAGGTTTAAGGTTTAATAGGTATTTTAGAGCAAGAAAACTCTAAAGGAAAGAGATACCCAATAGTATTAAATAATAAAAAAATATTATACAAATTAAATACAAATTTTTTCCTAAAAAATTAAAAAATTAAAAGGAGGTGTAAAACATTTTTAACCACTGAATAAAAAATAAAATAAATTAAAATATTATTAGGGGATTCCTTAATATAAGTTTTAAGAAATTTTATTTCAACGTGAATGGTTACAATGAAATCGAATATCGAGATTGTTAATGTTTTTAGTATTATCTTATTGTTTAATATGTGTAAATTTGTCGAAATTCATATTATTATCTGCAATTAGTAAAGTTGATCGTTTATAAGTAGAAGTTAAGGAAACAAAAGAATAGTATTGGTCAAATTGCTGAATATTTGTGTCAACATTTTTGAAAAATGATCTAAAAAAATATGAAATTTGCTGAGACACAGGTAATAAAATAATTATTACAACTAAAGAAAAAAAATGTATTGATATCAATAAAATTATTAAATTAATAATCCGTTTCAGGGTTCGAATACACTTTACAGTGAAATAAAAATACAGAATCCAATGTTTCGTTTTGTGAGGGCCATGGGCATGTATTAGGTAGGGTTCGTGACGAACATGGAGCAAAGTATTACTCACATATCGTGTTATAATGCGTGTCTGCTGCGTTAATTTACTCTATCAAGGAATTTGTAGGAAAATAAAAATTTTGAAAATGCGATTAGTATGGATTTTTTTTTTAGTGAAGGCAGGGAGATTCTGTTTCTCGATGCGCAGCTCTCTGTCTCGTTCGAAGCAAAGGATTTTATTAAAAATAAAAATAAATTAATTTTATTCCCAACGACGGTAAAACGACGAATCAAACTGCAAAGGATAGTCGAGTATACAAGCCATAAAAACAGGCGTGCCCGGTAAAAACAACTACATGGACATGTATACACGTATTACACTTGTACAGTCGTAGTAGCAGTCAGTTTATTATTATTTCCTTTTTTCAAGGTCTACAACCGTTACATATTTACGTGAAGTTATATTATTGAGCTGATGACGCCTTAGCTCGCCGTATATCAATTCCCACATTATTCCCTACGGGATAAACATTGACACCCACACGCATAGACATCGGGATGTACATAAACAATAAATGAATATATATGTGTGTGCGTGTGTGTGCGTGCGTGTGTATATGTGTGCGTGAGTGCGTGTGTGTATATGAAGGTACGAGTATATGGATTTTCAGGACCTGTTGGGAAAAGCGGAGGTAAATAATAATAATAACTATGTAGACGGGGATTGGATTCGCGCACGCAGTTGACGGGGCAACCGAGTCGGTGGCGAACGGGATTGAGGGTAGCAGGCCACGATGGGGGTTGATGGGGGGGGGGGGGGGGGGGGGGGGGGGGCGGGGCGCGGGGGGGGGGGGTGGGGGGGGGGGGGGGTTCACGCGTAGTGATCGAAACGACGACATCGCGCAGCGGTGGCGGAAGGTTTCATTCAGAGTGCGACGCGTGGGCGTCTCGAAGGACCCCTATAAAACCTCCCTCTGACCGGGCGGTTGGCCACAGTTCCGATACGAACGCTCAGCGCGCACTACTGCTAATCGTGTCTTCTCGAACACCCGCAAGTATTACGACGATCCTCTTGCTGTGTGGACGACACAGCACATTGACGAGACGATATTTGACTGCGATTCAAGAGATAAACTTAAATAGAACACAATAGAACAAAAAAAAAACCACCTGAACAAGAAAAGGTTGAGAACTGGAAACGTGAGTAACAAGAAATCATACACTTATTTTGGCTTTCAAAGTTCCCCGGGTATGTTTCGTTAATATCACGGTAGCGATTTTCTTTTTTGGTAACAGCTTTATTATTAAATTATCTTATCCTTATAATATGTTCTTAACTCAGTGGTATTTTGATGGATCATAAGATTGTATCGACTTGTGTAAAAATGCATTTTATATTATTATTGTATAGGTACGAGTAAGTTGTTCTTTCGAGATTTGTAAAACATAAATGAAAAAATTATTATTATTTTTAATAATAAAATAAACGCTGTCAGTAACTACAATATTGTTTATTGCAATAAATATGTTGAATTATGACTTTTTTAATTAAAAAAAAAAAAACTTTTCATTTACAATGGAATTGGTCCATTACACTGTTTTAATGTTACAATGGTATATAATTAGAACATCAGTTTTTCAGTTAATAAACTTACAACTTAAACTTTTTCTGTAATTCTTTATTTTCAACCAAGCGTTTCATGTAAAATGGTTTTTTAAAAATTGAAATTAAATTATATGAAACGCTTTTTTCGGTAATATTTTACTCTAGCTAGTCACTCGACAAAAGTACTTGCATTGTTTTTAGCCTTGCCATTTAGCTATACATTTTTATTTATTAACATATATCACCTACATTTTAAAAAAAAAATTAATTAAATAAAAAATATGAACTATATTGTATGCATTATACAATACATACAAAAAAAGTTCATAATTTTCAAGTCTCATCATTTGAGAAATCCTTGAAAGCAATGTAAAACACTGCCAATTGAACCATAAAAAAAAATCTAATTTCCCGCATATTTCACGTTCGTGTAATACAAGTCCATTAAATTAAATTTTATACTAATTGATTTACGAATATATGAAAATTTTATCGAATAAATTAAAAATATTATGAGCTTAAAATGTTTAAAAAAAATATGCAGGTAGGTATTTAATACGGGGATTCATTATCCATGAAGTTGACATGAAGAAATTGTAATATAAATTAAAATATCATAAAATATACATAAAATTAAGGTATTGAAAAATATATTATATAAACAAGAAAACTGAAACTTTTATTAAAAATATTATTGAAAATTATAAAAAATAAACGAATAAATTTGATTTACATTATTCACTAAAATTATAAAATTGTTCGATTAAAACTAATTCTTCATAAAGTATTTAAAATATATGTTAATTTTGTTACTTACAGTGAATACAGTATAATTATACTGTTTGAATTTATATTGACCTGTCATTAATATTGTAACATATAATTTGGTAGAAACCGAATTCATATATTGAACAATATACTGTTTAGTTCTAATAGTATTCTTAATATGGATACAATAGATAATTTAATACACTTTTAAAACTAATATCCATAACGTTTTTATTACTGTATTGATTATTGAAAATGTTTTAATAAAATATTCATGTTGATTTTATTTAGTATTTTTTTTTATATTTAATCCCAACACATGTGAGCTCTAAAAATTAGTTGAAAGCAAATAACAAATCGAACCGAGATATATTTTTATTAATATTTTGAATTTTTTTTATACATTCAGTAGCTTATTACGGATTATAAAATTTACTTTTATAAATATTAAAAACCAACAACAACAAGAAACAGATAATAACTATTAAATAAATAAATTTTATGGTTAAAATGTAATAAAAGACATACTTGATATTTTATTTTGGTGCATGTAATTGGATACAAAATTATTATTATATCATATGATATTAAAATCTTTATTTCCGTAACATGTTATTCATTTCTTATTAAAATATTATACTTCATTTTACCCGTAAGCACTACATTAGTATTAGAGTAAAATTTAATTCATTACATTTTTTATTAAATATGAAAATTTAGTGAAAACTTAACATTATACAATATTTACTTACAATTTGCAAATCATCTATAATTAAAAGTAAATATTTTAAAATTGTTCAGTTATGTTAGAATAAGAACATACAATTACTAAATGTAAATAAAAAAACCGTCCCTAAATTAGTATTCATAAATTAACTAGGACTCCGAGGTCCGCACTCAAACGCCTTACAATCGCAAATAAAATGTAAAGGTATTTTTACGATATATAATATTCGTTTAATTTTTATTTATTTATTTTTTTTTAATAAGCATTTTTATAAATGTGTGTACGTATAATATTATCTAACACGTGTACGCCCGAGTATTAAGCGAATAAACGCTTTACGAATACTTTTTTTTTTTTTTTACTTTGAAACCGTTGCCCGATTCGAGCGATAGAAAACTAACGATAGACCGAAAAACAGCCTTCTAGTATCGGTACAACAATCGATGGAATACCGTTGGAGGTGTTGGAAAAGAAACCTATACGATTGATCCGTTGACAATAGTGTTCTAAGTGGATTTTCGTGTGCACACAGATGAACGTCGCGGCGGTGGTAAACGTGACCGTGATGGCGGCCGTGGCCGCATGCCTGACGTGGGCATCGGCGGCCCGGGCGAACAGCATCATGAATCGGTACGGGAAACAGCAATTGTCGCAGAAGCAAAATCGGTACGGTAGCTCGTCAGCGGCGGCGTGGTTGAACTCGGGCGCGGGCAACAGGATCGAGGCCGGCTGGGCGTCGCCGTACGGGATCAGCGGCGGCAACCTGATGCGGCACTACCCCGTGTCGGTGGGACGATATCAGACGATGGGCGGCGGTGGCGGTGGCGACAGACAGGGTAACTTGTTCGCGGACGACTATTACGACGGCAACGTGGACCCGTATGGCCCGAAACTGCAGTACGACCGGTCGGTGGCGGACTACGCGGTGGTCAGATACCCGAGTTACGGGGCCGCCGCGAGCTACTACCCGCTGGCCGACTTGGGCGCGTACGATATGGCCGCGGCGGGCGACGATCTGCTGTATGACGACGTGGCGTTCGGCGGTCGCGACTCGATCGCGCCGTCCGCCGCCTCGTCAGCATCTTCACCGTCGTACTACCAACCGTCCGCGGCTATTATCAACAGGTACGACTCGCAATCGCCGCTATCGTTGTCGCTGAACCGCTATGAGCCGGCCAGGTATCCGACGGATAATATACACAAGTTCCGCAAGGTGTTCATGTCGAACTTGGTGTCGCCGTCCAACGCGTTCAAGTCCACCCAGGAGCAGCAGCTGTACGATTTCTGGGAGTCGCTGATCAACGGACGACGATTAGACGGCATGCAGCAGACGGACGACGACGGTAGTATCGGACAACGGCAGCACCAGCAGCACCAGGGACGGCAGCAGTTGTATCAGCAGCAACAGCAGTCACCGCAGGAGTTAGACCCTATCTCGCAGTTGTACCAACACCTGCCGCCGATTTTCCAGCAGTTGCAACAGCAGCAGAAACTTAAACAGCTCCAGCACCAGCAGTCGACCGGGGAGCGGACGCCGTCTTCGTCTTCGCTGTCGTCGTCGTCGTCGTCGTCGTTGTTGCCGTCGTCGTTTTCGTCGTCGTCATCGTCGTCGTCGTCGTTGGTCGCGTCTCATTCGGGGCCACCGCTATCGCACGCGATGCCCAGCGGCAATCACTACAAACAGTGGGCGAACGGTTCGCCGCTGATCAAACGCGGGGTCGTGGCGCGTGACGACGATGACGATGTGTGGCAGCTGGAAAAGCTCAAGACGCGCAACGTTACCACGGTACCGGCCGTGACCGCGACCGCGATCGCAGCATCACCAATGGCGGACGGCGGACAGAGGGAATACGTGCTGCCCAGACCGGCGGGCGAAAAGTCCGGTTTCGAGAATTTGTTGGAGGCGATGGCGGAAGGCGATCGTTTCCAAGGGCAAATGGACAAAAGCACTGCAGCCGCCTACAGCAAAGTGAGTGCATTTTTTTTTTAAACTTTTACGTTCTAATGCCTTACACGTTACCGAATCGGAAGCACTGGGTCTGCACCACCAGTGGCTTTCTGACTACGGGCCGTGCTGTTGCGACCCGTGGGGTTCCGGGGCATGCGTTCAACACTGTACAGCGATACACGGTTAGTTTCTCACGATATCGCCAACTTCATTGCTATCAATGGAGTCAACAACAATGCACACGCCCGCGTTCCTTCGATGTTGCTGCCCCAAAAACGCGCAAAACATCCTGACGCGATTTTTTTCAATACAAACATAACGCGCATCAAACAGGATAAACAATATGTATCTGCGTCGTCGTGTTCGGCCGTGTTGTTCGCCACGCAACTGTTGTCAAGAGTTTACTACTCTTCCGACTATGCTTATTATGCACCGTCTAAAAATGAAAAGTTTAACTGAGCGCTACGTTTCTGTTCCGCATCGCTGTAATGGAATGGTTTCTAATCGAAACGATTTCGTAGAACCGTAGAACCCTAGCTAGAACTAAGATCGAGGATCCACAATTTGTTTTTTATGCTTATACTTATACTTTATACTTATAAAAAAAAAATCAATTCTGCAAACATTTTCGTCAGAAATTTTCATGATCAACACAATACGATTAAATTTATTTGTTTTAACTCTTTGGGATGTCTTCTTTTTTGTACAACACCGAACGGCAATTTACAGAGGAGTATAAATTGAAAGTACATGAATTAATATAAGTAATTACAGTATACGAGTTAAGTACAAATATTTGAAATAAATGATTTGAAAGTTGTACAAAATTAAAATAATTACAAGGAAGATGCAACCGTAAAATACAAACATTATGTTTGAAATAATATATATAGTTGTATGTAAACAAATAGTAATAAAATAAATAGATCCAAATTTTACTAGAAAGAAGCAATACGGTGTAAAGAATGGTTGTGCTCATAAGAGGTGGAGTGAGTAGGGATATGAAAAAGTGTGTGATGGTAGGTTAGAACACTAAAATGAATAGAGAAATGTAGGTCAGGAGTATTTATTGTATTTATTAATCTATCAATTATACCATTAATAAGAAGAATAAAAAGACCCGCATCGATTCGTCGAGAAGAAAGCGTAGGGATGTTGAGCGATATAAGTACATTTGAGTAGTCATGCTGAGCATGATCAATTTTGTATAATAAGAGAAATATGAATGAAACCTATTCTGGAATCTTTTAAGCCTTAACAGGTCTTTTGCTTAATAGTAGTGCCAAACTATCATACCATAATCTAAAATTGGGCGCACAAGAGATAAGTAAAGTGTACGGAGACAATTGATAGAGTTGAACATTTTAGTATTATACTTTATGAAACCTTAGGCATGTAGCCAGAAAATGTTTGTTAAGGGAGCCAACAATTTGGGCCCTTGTATAATTTGTTTTCCACGAGAAACTCGTATGGCCTATAAAGAAGCACTATTTGTCACTAGTTCATTTAACATTATGTACACTACGAATAGTTCCAATAATTAACTTTAAGATATCGTTTTTTATGGGTATATAATTAAATATAATAATAATATATCCATGCATGAGTTATATAATAATCGAAATCATAATATAATTCGTTATCGAATAGTTATCATAATTGATTTATTTTATGTGCATAAACCATATGTATAGAGGTGTTCTTGATACTTAGTAAAAAAAGTTTGTTTATGAATTTGAGGAATCGGCTCTAGGCCAGAGTAAATGTAAGGAAGTCCCAGCACCCCCAGGTTCCTCACTGGTTACATGCCTCTCAAACCCAGAATTTTTAGTGCTTTGCAGATGGTAACACGTTTTTGTTTTCATAATTTATTATATTTCAAATGTTTCAGCACATTATGTGCTATTACAATTAATTAATTATTTTTTACATTTATACAATAATAATCAGGGCCGTGTTAAGGGGGAGTCAAAGGGGGCAATTTCCCCCGGGCGCCGTAGTTTTTTAAAAGTAAGGGGGTGCCCTTATCTGCATTTAATATGCTATCTGTGCCCAGTGGCCCCGTAGAAAAAATTTTGCACCAGGGCGCTGGAATTTTTGACACGGCTCTGATAATAATAATGATAAATTTATTGTTCATCTGATGAGAGTTGTTCAGTATCGGTTAGGAGGATGTCTTGGGGCAGTCGAGGTCACAGTCGTCTATTTCGGATTTTGATAAAAATTAATAATTAATAATAAATTAATAATTAATATTATTAATTATTAATAATTAATTTTATTATTTTGATTTTGATACCTAGTTGGTAATTGTGGGACCTGTCTATATCTTTAAGATTGGCGTGAACATTTTTAAATAGGGTTTTAATTCCAGTATTTATTAGAGGTATTCCAGAGTAATTGTGGATCTGGTGGTTTCTCATAAACCATGGTGCATTTAGGCATATATAAGGAATTTATTTTAGAGAGTGGTTTTTTTAATTTTAGTGGATACGACTACCGCCAAAATGGGGCAAACGTATGTTACTAGTGGTCCGATTATTGAGGCATATAGAAGAAGTGATGATTTATAGATGACTAAAGGGTAGATAATGATCATTCATGTATAGCTCAGTAACATTAATAGGATGGTTGACATCTAATGAAGGAGTAAAATATATACTAAGATCATTAATAATGAAAACATGCTCTAAATGGTAGCCATTAATAATTTATTGTTTGTGATCTTCAAGTTTTGCTTGATATTCTTATTTTAACGTCAAACACTAATCCTTGGAGGTTCGTGGATCATATATTAGTAATTAATGTTATAACATGAGTATTTTTTTTTTTAAATACGAATATACAATAGAAACGACTAGAAAATAACTTATAGAATCAAAATGTATTTAGAGTATGTTTGAATCGTTATCATAGCGTTAAAAGCAAAGTACGTGCATTAGGGTGGTTGTTATTAATATAAGTGAATTTTTTTTTTTTTTAATAAATATTATTTCGTACCCCATAGATTTGTTAAGTTACATAAAAAAGTAATTTTGGTAAAATTTGGAAGATGTAAATCAACCCCTTCTGGTGCCGAATCAGGGTTGAAATAAGGCAAATTAGGGTTAGGGTTAATTAGGGTTTTACTGTTTTTTTTAGTTTTATTCAAAAAATATAGCAATGATCATAAAAATGTATTGAAACTAATTTATACAATTTATTAATGCCTACAAAAAAGTACATTGCGAAAATTTTCATATTTTTATTATTTTCTAGAAAAAATTAGAATAAAAAAAAAAAAAAAACTTTTTGTCAAAATTTTTTTCCTTTTATTTGAGTATACTTTATATATGGTTTTATAACCGTAATTATTTACAATAAAGTATCTTTTATAAATATTGTATAAAATTTAATTTCGTGAAAAATCGTATTTTATCAGGATTTTGTTAGAGTAACCGTTATGATATAATAGCTTAATTTACCTGTATAAAAAAATAAAATTAAATTAAATAATAATAATAATAATGATAAATCGAGAATGATTGTTGCTTAGCTATATTAATATATTTTGAATATTAATTTATATACTTCAGTTTAAAATATAATATTTTATTATAATTTACATATCGATGGCGTTGCGCACAAGTTTGATAAGTGACATTTTTTTGAAAAATGAGTTAAGTGAATATTCAATTTAATCATAAAATTCCGCACATTATGCACAAACGAAATTATAACATTATTCAAGTAATTTTTGTTCTTTATTGAAATTAGAAGAAAAATGTGATGTGTTTAAGTATTACTTTTTACGTGTACCAAATGTGTACAATACTTTTTTTTTTTAATTTTTTTTAAGAATACAAATGTGGTAATTGCAGGTTTTTAATCTTCATTACTCATTACATGTTAAGGAAAATATAACTAAAAGTTCATTAGAGTTCGTTATATTTTTGAACTGTTATAACAGCTCAAACTTAAAAATCGTTCTCCAGAACAATTACGAAAATGTCACTTGTCACACTTGTGCGCTACGATATCGATATTACATTTATTTTATCAGTTTAACAGCGTTCGGCAGTATCGTTAACAACTTTTAATGTACCAATAATTTCTTTTCCTTTTTTATATTCTTTATTTACTTCCCAGTATATTGGATCAAAAGATAAAGAATTAGTTTGAATATCAAATCTATCAAACATTTTTACTGATTTTAAAGAAATCAGATCAAAACATCTTTGATTTAAAATTAAAAAGTTTAAACAACTTAAAAAGTTACGTTTTAAAGTTAATTTACTATCTGTAATTTGATTATTTATTGTACTAACGAGAAAAATTTTATATCTTAATATTTTAAATAGTACCAACTACTAGTGATGGGTAAATTTATTTTTAATGCTAAAACCAATCCATGGATATCACAATACTTTTTTATGATTGTTTCCTGACTTTTTCATGTTTTTCCAAAATTGATGATTAGAGAACATAAATTATATTTATGAAGTTTTTGTTAATTTTATTCACTTTGAAACCAATGCCACTTTTAATGGGGATACAAATAAATCTAAGAATTTAAAAACTAACCAAAACACTTCAAATTTTAAAATTAAATTTATTTAATAAAAAATGATTATGTTTGACATAAAAAAAAAAAAAATATTTACCCAAATTTTTGGTAGGTAAATATAGTGGGTAAATACCCAATATATTTGCTTACCCGTCGGGTATTTACCCATGGCACATCAGTACCTACTACTAAACATTAAACACCATGTTCATGGTACAATTAAATCATAATGATGAAATACAATAAACGAATGTTCAATTCACTATTATCTGAAACCAAATTTAAATCTACAATATAGTATATATTTATAAGATATCAAAATAATTTGTGATAGTTTATCGCCATCCAAAAAACCGGTTACGAAACAATTTATTTATAATCTAATGAGAATTCATGGCGTCTGAAATATCATTTCAATAGTTAGGTACTAATATAATTCAGACTGTTAGGATAAAAAATGTAATCAGATGAAGAA